GCCCGAAAACCCTAAAGCCCTAAAGCCCTGAAACCTTATTAAACCCCAAACCCCAAACCGGAAAACTCAAAGGCCCTAAAACCCTAAAGCCCTCAAGCCCTAAACCGTAACTCGCTGATTTGGGGAAACCCTAAACCCTAAACCCTAAACCCCAAACCCTACTCCCAACAGCCCAGGCTAGCTTTGGGAAAGCGGGCCAAGTTCATCGAAAAGATGTCCGAGCGCTTCGAGACGGAGCCAAAGCGCAGCAAGATCCAGGAAGGGTGGCTTTGCTCGATAACTAGATAGCAGTCTTACACCAGTCGTGCGGTAGCTGGTCTACAGGATCGTTATTCAGTATCAACAGGATGTGTGGTCGTTGTGATACACGGCAAATTAATGCAGTACCCGAAACCGACGAAACCCTAAACCCTAAAAAATACCCTTTGCCCTACAGCCTTAAGTCTCCTACACTTTTCCCCGGATCAATTAGTTTCTTAACGCACAAGCTTAGGTTCTACCAGCAGTGCCTCAAGCTGAATACGCAGCTAACCGATGGCATCGCGGATCTCAGTGATGCTTACTCGAAGAAGGTGGTTGCGGGGCTTGGGAAGAAGAATCTCAGCTCAACTCTGAAAGCTCCCAACTTGATATAATCCTTGTCGAGTAGCCGCAAACCGTGGCATCAGAGGCAAGAGCAGCCGTTCATTGAGAGCATCGATCAACTTGTCGCAGTGCCAGCACCTTATGTAGCCAGATGTTCTGGGCATGCATGTTCCTAGTCCTTAACTCGACTGAGCTATCGTGGTCTCAGGGCTACCTCATCACTGTCTTTGGAGACACGTGCCAGGCTAGCAATTACGCATGCAATGTCAGCGCAGCACTCTTCCGGAATTGTCAAAGCCCTGGAAGGCCCTTCCTCCCCAAGGAGCAGCGCGAAGTCTCTGCGAAAGCAAAGAACAAGAAGAACCAGAAGCCCAAAATTAAAGCCAGGCCGGCGAAGGTGAAGGAAGAGAAGTCCTCCCCCAAAGGGAAACCTGGCGGTGGCAAGGGCTCTGGCAAGCGGAAGCGTGGTGTCTGATCGCTTCGAAGTTCGCTCAGGGGTTCACTTGAAGCTTTGGGAAGTCTTCGTGGCAAGCCCCAAGTTTTGTTTCAGGTTTGGGCGCTCGGAGCTGTAAGATCTTCGAGAGCCCGTGGGGTGCCATAGGGGCAGCTGACACGCGGGAATCTTGCCGCAGAAAAGCCAGGACCGTGGTGCACGACATGCCGTGTTAGAGCGAGTTAGGTGCAATCCCACTGAATGCATTAAGTGCTGCTCGAGATAATGGTCCCCGAAACTAGACAACCAACCTCCTTCTTGCCAGGTCCTGAATCGACTGAACCAGACCAACTCGCCGAAGCTTTTGCTGAAGCCTATGCTGATTGTGCACCTTGTCTTGTAACTTGTGCAACCACTGCCCACTCATTTGGAGAATTCCGATTCCCTGTGTACCTTCAGCAAACTTCATGCCCCTACTCCAAATTCCAATGTGTTGGCCCATTATGTCTAGTCACCCAGATTTCGCCCGAAACCCCATAGCCTAAGATGATGTCCTAAGGTACCGGCTACTACTTTGTCGAGCCTCACAGCCGCAGCATCAGTGAGCGATTCGGGCCTTGGCCGGGCTGTTCCACCAGGGGCCGAAGCAAATGCGTCCAGGAATGCCCGATCATTCGTCTATCGATGGGGTCTGCTGTGGAAGGTTCCTATTAGTGTGTTCCACTATCAGTCTGAGGGGACAGATCTGGAGGTTCCCTACATTTCGCCCCTGGCCTATGTAAAGTACTTGCTTGAGCGATCTCCTGAAGTACTTCTCGGAGGTCTGGGTCTTGTGGAAGGTCAGAAGATGCTGAACTCCTTTTGGGCCTCTTATGGTCAAACACACAAGACCCACGAAGTGTTCCGGGAACATTCAGGATGCATGTCAAATGTGATACCGCTTTGTTTGCATGGAGATGAAGGCCGAGGTTTGAAGAAAACAAACACTTGCATCATGATGCTCGAGGCGATCTTCGGGTTGAGCACTGCTGACAACATTAAGTGCAGTCGACACTACGGCTCTTGTCGTTGCTGCTCGGAGCGGGGCCTAGACACGGAGGCTCCTTGCAAGAGCGAGGCTCAGAATCAGGGTACAGTTCCTGCCTCTGCATTCCAAGAAATCAATTTACAACATCATTCGTTCTTGACGAAGTTTCTGCTCTTCGCACTTCCACGTGTCTTCTTCAAGCAGACGAACTTGCTTGAATTGTTGATACGACAGATCTCGACAGAATTGCGACAACTCTTTTACGAGGGAGTGTATGCACGGGGCAAGTACTGGTTTGGTGCTATCATTGGCCTCAAAGGCGATTTGGCTTGGTATGCTAAGATCGGCAAGCTAACCAGATGTTTCAAACATCTAGCACCGGGTGCTGCTTCTTGTCACGTTTGTGGTGCCGGCACAAACGACCAGCCATTCGAAGACATTCGACGCAACCCTGCATGGCGCAGGAGCTTGTACAAGGAGCGGCCGTGGTCGACTCGAGCCCCCCCCATGTTCGAACAGATACCATTTGACCGCGACGTTCCGGAGAGAATTCTCCGGAGAGATTTCTTTCATTGCAGCAAAATTGGAACATTCAGAGATTTCATTGCAAGCTCCGTGCTCTTGATCATCAAGTTTGGTTTCTTCAATGATGCTGCTGGGCCAAACAACCGGACGGTGCTTTTGGAACGGGCTTTTGGCCATTTCCGTTTATTCTGCTCGACGCAAGGCAAGCATCCGGCCATGCATTCTTTCACAAAGGATAACTTCAACTGTTCGAGCGCGAAGAAGTACCCTTGGTGCAAAACGAAGGGCAGTGACACAATGTTGCTGATCGACTGGCTACAGTTTCTTAGCCGGTCCTGTTTGGCCGATCCAACGGACGAGCGCTACATCGACTTGTTGGAACTCATCAATCGGACTGCACGGGCTGGCACTTCTTGGGCGAAGTGCCTCTACAAGCATGGAATGTGGCTGTCTAGGAAATGCGCTCTGGCCCTTGCTGAAGCAGGGTATGAATTCTTGAAAGGTTACAACTCTCTCGCTCACGCCTGTTTGAATTCACCCATAATACAAGACCTGCGATTCAGAGGCTATGGGATGAAGCCGAAGATGCACCTTCTGTTCCACGACATTCACGAAGTTTGGGATTGGCTGTCTGATCCGACCATTACAGCAATTCCGAATCCATTGATTTTTGGATGCGAAAGCAACGAGGATGTGATAGGGAAGGTTTCTCGAATTATTCGTCGGATACACCAAAAGCAAGCCGCTCGCTCTGCACTGGAACGATATCTTGTGAAAGCCCAGGCCCTCTACAAAAGATTTATCAAAGGCGTGAAACCGGACGTTTCTCGAAAGAGAAAACGGGAGTTGAGTGCCAGGCTGGCGAAGCCGAAGAAGTTCGCAAAGTCCATGGCCATGCGAAAGACTTCAGTCTGCTCTGGGAAAGGGAGGGCTTAGAGCTTGGAAGATGGGCTTCAGGATTTCGGAGATAAGACTTTTGGCTTTCGTGCTCTCCTAGATAAGCCAGGTTCCACTAGGCCTAGATTTCAGCTTTAAGTGAGGCTCCGAACCTTCCTAGAAATACCTAAAAATTCCCAAATAATTAAGACACCCATGCACCTAGACCTTAACATAAATCTTGTGAAGTTCTGCTTGCAACTCCAAGCCCAACTATCCTATCCAAGTCCACACCACCCGGCACCCTTCTGAAGCCAAATGCAGCCACAGTTTCCCAAAACACAAACTATGCTCCAGACCCCTAACAACCTCCCTAAACTCGGAACAAACCCAACTACTTTTTTTCTACGCAGCGCCTTTTATTTGATACAACGCCTGAATTATGTGTTGTTTCGTGAAACTCCTTTTATTAACGCCCCCACGAGGGTCCAGGTATTTGAGCTAGCAGCTAGCCTAAATGAATCGCATTGGAACATACTTGAGCTTCTATAGCACTGTTCTCAATTAGGTTTAAGGGTTCGGAGATTTTAAGGCTTAGATTTTGTAGGGTTTAGAATCTGGGAAACACCGGCATGAAAGTTCACATCCTGATTCCCACACCACGAAGCCCTCAATCCCAAACCTAGGCTCAACACCCGAAACCGTAAGTCCTAAACCCATAAACCCTTCATCCCCAAATCCAAAAAACCCTAACCCCGAAATCCCAAATCTTGCACATGCCGATGCACTCTACAGGCAGTTCTCTAATCTAGGGTCCCTTTGTTTTGGGGGACCAAAAACGGGACCTGAAAATTAGAGAACTACTAGGACTACATAGCTAAGATGAAACGGTCGATGCTTGAGAGACTAAGCCCTAATCCAGGAGCCTGCATAACTGTAATGAAATTGTCATGAGGTTGTTGGGTATGCAATAGTCGTTTTATGATACGGAGCCCTAAACCCTGCACCGTCTAAGGAACCCTGAGGAACAGTTTTTGGGAATTCTTTCCCATGCCCTAAACCCTAAACCCCTAAACCCCTAAACCCCGAAACCCAAAGGAATGCTTTTTGGGAATTATTCTGATTTCTATACTGGCCGGCCAGCAAGGGCTCCTAAACCCTAAACCCTAAACCAAACCCTAAACCCTAAACCCTAAACCCTAAACCCTGCAGCAAGGGTGAAGCCCAGGGCTTCGTGGTTCATGGAAACTTCCGAACCAGGGCTTCCAGTTCGAGTTCCGGGCTTCTAGGGCTTCGAGGTTTGGGTTTAGGGCTTTAGAGGTTTAGGGTTTAGGGTTTAGGGTTTCGAGGTTTGGGTTTAGGGCTTTAGAGGTTTAGGTTTAGGGTTGAAGGTTTATGGCCGAAATAGTATGTTGTGAACATGTCTAACATGTGATTAAACATCGGTTTCGAGATATGGAAAGCAGTGGTGCATGATGCATGCGTTGGTGAAACCGAACGGAGTAGCTGAACCGAAGCCCCAAAGCATATACGCTAACCGCAGAATCAAGCGTCTGACTGCAGGCTCGACAAAAATCTCGTAGACGGTGGCGCCCCCACAAATGACGCACAATGTCACAGCCTCAAGCTGTGAACGGCTCGGACCGTTAGCCCAAAAGCCTAAACCCATCTCAAGGGACCCGAACACTTTACCCCAAAGCTGGAGCCTAAAACCCCAAACCCGGACGCCACCACCACCACCACCACAACGGCCACCACCACAACGGCCACCACCACAACGGCCACCACCGCAACGGCCACCGCCACCGCCACCGCAACGACCACCGCCACCGCCACCGCCACCGCTGCTTGCTACATGCAAAAGAGTCAAGTCATTCCTTAGATATTTCTTATAGAACACAATCTTGAACTACTTCTACTAACATTGCAGTTTTGAAGACCTTCTGATGAAGAGCTTCCCACATCCGGAATCGAAACTCGAGATCGACAGCTCACCTCAAGGCTACTGTACAAGAGCCCTCCCCGATCATATTGGGTTTCGGGCTTTGGGATGAGGGATTAGGTGTTTGGCGCGGATGGGGGTAGGGTTTAGAGTTCGGGGTACAGCGTGTAGGGATGAGGATTTGGGTTTAAGGTGTAACAGCCTAGATTGTTCGTGGATCTTTTGGGCAAGCCCTGACTTGACCCCGCAAAATCTCTACACGAACCGCAGCCATAAACGCCAAAAGAAGCCGCGTGCAACGCGTGAAACATCAAAAATCCGTGAAACAACATCGAGCCAGGCAAACAAACCTTGAACAGCCTTCAAACCTTCGAAGCCTGACCGGTAAAAGCCCTACTGTAGGGTTTAGGGTTCAGGGTTCAGGGTTTAGGGTTTTGGCCTTAATCATTAGAACAGGCTTTTGGGGTATATTCTACTATAATTATAATCAGGANNCCCCACAATAGTATAGGTAATTATTGAGGCTCCTATATTAACCCAAAAAAAAACCGGAGGCTCTTCGGACCCAAGCAGCTGCTGCTTTCCCACTGCCGATGTAGGTCGCCTTTCTAGGTGCTTGAGTTGAGGGTTTTAGGGTTTAGGGGTTTGGCGTCTAGGGGTATAGTATAAGGTGTGAGTTTAGGGCTTTAGGGTTTAGGGGTTTGGCATCTAGGGGGTATAGCATTGAGGGGCATTGGAAATATATTCCTTAACCAAGGTGTCTTGGGCGCTCGGGGGTCACTTGTTTTTTGTGCTTGGGCTCTGGGTTCGGGGTTTCGGGTCGAGGGCCTCTCGTTTTCGGTTGCTTTAGATCTAGGGGTTGCAGGTTTAGGGTTTAGGGTTTAGGGTTGCAGGTTTAAGGCTTAGAGCTTGTGTTCTAAAGTTTTCGGTTGAAGGTGTTGGGTCCACGTCTTGGGTGTTGGGGTAAGGTTGACTGTGCTTCCATGCACACCAGTACTCACATCAGTGTATCTGTAGCATCTACACCCTAAACCCTAAACCTAGTCGCCGTGGCGGTGTTGATGGCGGTGATGGTGGCGATGGTGGTGGCATCCCTAAGGGCGAAAAGCACCCTGAAAGGGCTGAAGGTACAAGTACCAAAAAAGAGTTCGCTAGGGTTTATGGTTAAGGGTTTTATGCCGGTGTAGTGTAGTGCCTCTACTTTGTAGTGTCATTCGGTCCTTCAGAATGTTGATAATGGCAGCGGGATTGAGCCTGTCAGTTGGCAGTAGTCTTGGTGGTAAGAGCACCCCCTGTAGCAACAGCATGTAGTAGGTCACATCCCCTTCAGCAGGTGAGTAAGTACGACATCCCAAACCCCAAGCCTTAGCTTACTTCCCCAAAAAAGCAGTGAAATTAAAGGTTGAATTTTCAGACTACTACTAAATGATAAGAAACCCCAAAAGTTTAAAGGTTGGCTATTGGAGAACTACGTTAACCGTGAACCCTACACCATACAACCGAAGCATCAGACGAACCCTAAACCCTAAACCCCTAAACCCTAAACACCATCCGAAGCATCAGAGGCGAGTCGGAGCCTGGTAACCTTGGGCTGCTAGAACCTAGGGCCAAACCCCGATACACCCCAATATACCTCGAACGCCTTTCGTTGACGGATTAGGGTTTAAGGGCTAACTTAGTGTCTAGACCTGAAACTTCATGTGGAGGGTTTGGGTTTCTGGGGTTTCCGGTTAATGGCTTAGGGTAAGACCGTCAATATAACTAAAACTGCACCAAAGGACATACACCGCCACGACAGAATGGAGAGCCAACCACAGGGAGGCCATGCACAGATTCTTCGAGACGAACTCTGCCAATCGGTCCGGTACCTGCTTTGGTCGACAGGTTCAGGGTCCCCCTGAGCCCTAAACTCCTGAGACCCTACGACGCCTCAGCCCCAAGCGCTTGCAGGATTGAAGGCTTACTTCCCCCCCAAAAAAAAACCGGTGAAATTAAAGGTTAAACTTTCAGATTACTATTAAATTATAAGAACCCCAAAAGGTTTAAATATTAAATTATAAGAACCCAAAAAGCTTAAAGGTTGGCTATTGGAGAACTAAGCTATTCGGTTTAGGATGCAGGCTTGAAGTCGAAGTCTCAGGGTCTGGGTTTCGGGTTTCGCTTGGGCACCCGAAGGATGCATCTACTCACAAACTTTGCAGTATATGTACTTAGGGGCTGAGTACCCAAAAAAGGTTAGGGTTTAGGGTTTAGGGTTTAGGGTTAGGGTATCCTAGCCCAAAAAAGGTTAACCTTTTGAAGTATAGTAGGATTATATAAGCCCCAAAAGGTTAAAGGTTACCGACTCAGCCCCTAAGTATAAGCTTCAACCTTAAGCCCTAAAAGCCCAAAGCGCTAAAACCAGACCGTAGAATACCCGGAGCAACCGGATCCTCATTGCTGAGAGTTCAATTCGGAAACCCGGAAGAGCCCCAAGGTGTTATACTTTTGTAATCAAAGAATGTACCCGAAACTCTATGTTTGGTACTGAGGCCCATATGCCCCTAGATGTTATACAAGAAAACCCTGATCAACAAACCCCCTACTATTGAGTTCCCACTGCACCCCTGTTATTACAACTCTATTTGACTCTTGTTAAGGGATGAGGTCATTAACCAGGGGTCCGCAATAGGAGATTCCAGGCGCTCCCAAACCGACTCCCTAAACCCTGGATACCTAGAATGCTGCCAAAGATCGGGGAAAACGGCCTGAGTAAACTTCTTCAAGGCTTATATTCGTATACAGAACCCTAAGCCTAGAAACACTAGAAGCCAGAACTCTTAGAATGAGGGCTGCTTTTCTGCGGGGACTATACAGCATTTCGTCCAAGAAATAGCACTACTAGATACCTGGGCCCCTCAAAATTTCTTGCTTTCGTTCTGAAATCAATACTTAAGCTACCACCATCGAGAGGTCCTCCGACAAGTTTCTTGCAGAAGAACCCGGAAAGGAGTTTAGCGGCTCGGAAGGTGCACATCCCCGAGAACCCAATACTCCTTAACTCCTCAACATACCTTAAACAAATCGCCAAGAACACCACGATTTAAGGGATATTCCTTCATTATGGGCTATTGGGCTCTCTGGGATGTACTTGCGAACAGTCTGCTTGACTTGGCCTGCTTATAACTGCACCAACAACAAACTAAGCCGAAATTCGACTAACCTGACACCTATTATCTCCCTTCGTCCTAAACCGAACTTTGACGAAGTCCTCCCAAAACTACACCACACCCATTCCGAAATCCTATAGAGCATTATAAAGCACAACCAGGGGTACATTCCGGCCGCTCTTCGCAGAGCCTAAGCTTGAAGCCATTAAACATCGTCATGAATCCCAATGAAACCCAGAAGCTAGATCCTACATCCGAAATCCCGAACGGTAATAATGGCATAAACCCTATAATCCCTAAATCGTTCCCGAGTAAACTTTCAACTTATCACGGCCGCCTCCTCAGGGATGTCAGAGTACTCGGAACGCATGGCATGGGAGACCTGGGCCCATGTGGTTATGGAAACTCGAAGGATCCTCAGTTCCCTCTAACCGGTTCCTGAAGAGTCCAAGTGGTCCCTTGAAAGGGGTCTTCAAAAGTATAGCATAAGCGAACTATTTTTTCGTCACGACACGCAAGTCTCGTTTAAGTACGCGTGTACATCCATGTTGATATGTTTAATTTACGTATAGCATATGCATATGCCATGCTCCAAACAACCCACGACATGTACGGCAGGCTCACTGCCGAGCACTATGGTAAAGTTCGGCATATCGCTATCGTTTGCCACCGTGCATCGCCAGCATGTTGGTACATATGTAGTTACAATGCGTCATGCCTCCTTATAAGCCTAAACTGTAACATGCCGCAGTTGCTTTAAACTTACCGAACAGGGGAGGGAAAGCAGCGGCAGCTTTGTTGCCTCATCGTTGGGTCATGGTTCACCGACATGTTCGCTGCTCGTGAGCCGGAGCTGATCTGTGTCAACTCGTAGAATGCAACCCAATTGTTGAATTACACCTGATCCAAACAAAGAGATTACAGCTTATGACGCACCCGTGTCTACCACGCATCCTACAGCGCCAAATCATGAAAAGCGGATGCCGTTGTGGGAATTTGTCACATATTCCAGAAATTACAGGTATGCGGCTCCACGTTTGTGATTGTTGCCATTTACAGGACACAGATAAACGCATGGTTCCCTGCGGGGTGTAGTTACATTGCATACATACATGTATACATACATGCATACATACATACATACATACATACATACATGCATGCATACATACATACATACATACAAAGATTGCATGCATACATACGTACATACATACATACATACATACATACATACATACATTGCATACATACATGCATACATACATGCATACATACATGCATGCATACATACATACATTGCATACATACCTACCTACCTACCTACCTACCTACCTACCTACCTACCTACCTACCTACAGACAGACAGACAGACAGACAGACAGACAGACAGACAGACAGACAGACATACATACGTGCCTACATCCATCCCTCCATCCCTCCCTCCATCCATCAATCCACGCATGCGTGCATACAT